AGGGGGGAGGGGGGAAGCTCATACACACCATAGATTATGATAATGGATTTGACCTATTGTCAAATGAGATATGACAGTTGACGGATATTGGTCAAACAAGAGGCATTCTTGGAGTAAGAGAATGTATTCACTAACATCATTGCAACACAAAACAACCATATACATCACCCTTCCAAATTCTGATTGGGACATTTTTGGTACATTTGCTTTGTTTTGGTTCAAGTTTTATCTGTGTATGCCATTTTTCTTTGCTTTTCAGTTTTTATAGAGTGGGTTTTGCACATCTCGTTTAAAGATGCAAACGACGCAGGCTTTCCAAAGTCCATGGTTTTTAAAAGCCTAGGCCAAGCCGGGCTTTGGGTGTGAATGGGCTTGATTGCGCTTTTTAGTCTTGCTTGGCATGATCGTGCTTTTTGGCCTGGCCTCGGGCTTTGAGCCGGACCTTTTTTGTGCATCTCTAGTCTTAATTGTATTATTTCATGTTCACGTAAATAGAAACCTATACAATGAAAATGTTAAATAGGTAGAACAAATTGGAGCTATGATGCCTCTATTTTGTTAATACATTTGAAGAAATAAAAGTGATGATTATATATTTATATTACTTTCCATGGTTTCTACTTCTTTGAGTCTTATTTTCCTTTTGTTGTAATCATATAAAAAAGGGGACTGGTTTGAAAGTGGGTAAAGCAAGTGAAGCCATCCCAACAGAAAACCTAATTTTATACTTTAAACTGTTGACTTTCATCAACCAACCTCTAAAGACTTGTAAGTTATGCATAATGAGTTGTACATTGGAATGTGTTGGATTAAGTAGAACATGGTAGGTTTAGGTTGTATTTGTTCACCATCCAAGAACCAGAGTTGGTATGCATCCTCATATTTCATCCTTAATTTTGTGGATTTTCCTCAACTTCTTAGTTCTTGTCTTTTTATACTTGGATTTACTTTGTTTTTTTGAAGTACTTAATACTTATATAAGGGAAATACAACAAATAAACTCGTACACCCTTATAATCTTTGGTGATGTTTGAACCCCTGACCTCCTTGGAGGCCAAAGGCCTTTTGGTTAAATTTACTTGTTGGTACAAGATAAATGAAAACATGTTTATTGTTTTTTAGATGATGTTCTAAATGAATACAAGACCTACAAATTCAAATGTTTAGAATAAAAACCATGATGCTACATACTTTGTTCACCTTTTTTTTAAAGTCAGGGGTATTTATGAAAATAGTCTTTCTGCCTTCTGAAATTAATAAAAAGGTATGTGTATATCTTGGTCCGAAGGAGAGGTCTTGTTTGAGTTTTGACAAAATGTTTTTGAGTAATTTGGATTTCGTGAAAAAAATTGGAATTTTTGGTGTGTTTGGTTTATAGGATTTGTAATGGAATTAAATTACATTTTTCATAGATTATTTAGAGAAACAAATTATAAGTAATTATAAAAATAATTGAATTATCTTTTATTAATTGATTATTACCAAAAACATGTTTCTTTAAATATTTTAAAGCATTATTAAGGATAAAAAGGCATGGTTTGCTTCTCTTGGTGAGGCACGTTTTGGGAGTTATTTTGATAATGCATGGGTCATTGGTCGATTTTGAGAGAGTTTGAAACGTGTATATTAAGGATCGGTTTAATTTTGATTGGTAGATTATTTAGGACAGAATTGTGAAAGATGTATATATAACTCAATCTCAATCTCAACAGTCTATTTGATTTGATGAATATGTGATTTCATAAAAAGTTTTGATTATTTCATAATGTAAAATATTGATCATAATTAATGAACTTTATTCATCTTCCATAAATATTCTAATTATGATAAATGAACTCTCATCATTTCAATAAATATCTAAATTGATTGTATTGTATTGATTGTACAAATGGACATGGTTACATTTGAACTATACCCCAATATATATATATATATAATCTTGATTTTTCCATGTTCATTGTTTTATGAGTTTTTAATTCGCATAGGAAACACTGTAGTAAAATTATCGGTATCGATCAAGCTAATATGGATAAACGCAATGGAAAAAAAATCGACAACAGTGAGAAGATTAAAATAGCTTATGATGACAATCGGAGTTCGAGTTCGGAAAGTGAATATCTTGGTAATAGAAATATTTTTATTAGATTCGTTTTAATCGAATTATCTTCATTACGATGTGTTGTATTTTTTATACTTCATCTTTTATTTATAGTTTTTTTCTTTAATTGCACCACGTGTTCATAACATAGATGTTATGTGTTCATACTATTTCTACGATATTCTCTCACTATGTGG